TGTGTGTGTTTGGTGCATCTTTAGTCCCAGTGGGACAAGAATGGAAGAATGAAAGGAGAGCACTCGTTGGGAATGGTGAAGAATAGTATTGACTTTGGAATGAATCACTTAGCAAACAGTGAACCTCAGTGAAGAAAGTCAGCTGCTTCCTCCAGCCCCCATGTCTCTGTTGTCCACCAGGAAAAATGGGCTGGGAACTCTCACAATCTCTGGACTGATCACAGAACACAGCAGACAGCACTAGTGCCCTGTCACCCGTGAGGCAACACTGCCCCTTCATCATCTGAGTTCATCCTCACACCTCCCTTCCATCCCTTACAAGTAGCAAATTTTAGTTCTGCACATTGTAGAACCACATGACCTGCCAGTTGTTAAAATGCAGAGGAAAAGCTCTGTCTTGAACACTCTGTCCCAAGACTCTCCCTGGCTTTACCCAAAGGAAAGCCGTGGTTTTTAGACACAGCACTAGCACCATCAGATAGAGAAACAGCAAGCTCAGTCCCCAGAGGGTCACAGTGCAGGGCTGCTGGTGGGGAGACTGATCGTGTTGGGTCTGGTCTTTATATCCATTTCAAAGCAAATGGAACATTACAGGAACAATTATAAATAATTGAGATTGTAAGATCGCCAAGATTAAATCAGGTATGATACAAAGTGTCTTTTAATGCCACTTTAGCCCTTTTCCATTTGGCAAACTGAACTTGGTGGCTAGCCATGTGGAGTTTTGCAATAACATTGCCACACGTGGGCCAAACTTGGAACTGTCTAACAGCTCAAGTCCCAAAAAAGAACCTTCAGTGGAGAGACAGCCAATCCACTGTTGGGTGATCCCACTCTCCCATAGCTCCTTTGACTTTAGTCCCCTGTTCCTCTGAAATATTTCTCAGTTCTTTTTGTTTGTTTGTTTTTGTTTTTCAAGACAGGGTTTCTCTGTGTAGCCTTGGCTGTCCTGGACTCATTTTCACCTTGTATGTAGACCAGGCTGGCCTGGAACTCACAGCAGTCTGCCTGCTCCTGCCTCCCTAAATACTGGGATTAAAGGCGTGTGCCACAACACCCTGCTTCTCAGTGTATTCTTCACTGGCCATCCTCTCTTCCTCAGCAGGACCTTCCAGGCCATTTCCCAGCCCATCAGCTGCTCCACTAGACTCCACCAGCTCCTGGCCAACATTCCTGTGTCAGCCACCGGTGTGTGCTTAGATAACCAGGAGTTTGGTGCATCTCCCTCTGGAATGAGTGGCAGTTTCTTCCGTGTGATGTCACCCTCTCTGCAGCTCCAAGTCATCCTCTGGTTGTTCCTGGGCCCAGGATGACATCTTCTTTTCCACCTTGGGTGTTAAAACTTTGTACTTCTTTTTAACTACCTGTGTCCACTAGTTCCTCATGTTTCTTCATCCTGATAAAGGGTTTCTGTTTATTTATAGTAGCAGCAGCCAACAGGAGTGATTTCCTTAGAGCATTTTCACTTCTACCCCAAGCTTAGGTACCATAAACCACAAATCAAACGCTGCACTTACATAACCAGTGACGGTTGGAAGAAATGTTGCCCCCCCCCCCATGAAATACAGGCAAATAAGATTTGCTTGATTTTATGCAATATTCATGGTAATTGAGTTATAGAGTTCCTTATTCCAGCCACTGATACTTGAAACACAATGTAACTTTATTTAACATTTGTTCTCATTGTAGAAAATTGCAAATATAGAGACAGGGAGAATAGCCTGGGAAGCCCACATATACCATCATTTAGCTTCCACGATTGTTGAAAATGTGTCGGTGGCATTTCATTTCTTCAGTGGTAAAAGATACTGTGAATGTTCAAAGAATGAGTCTTTCTGTGAAGTACAACACTGAATCTACAGTCAGACTTATTCCCGGTCTTTATAACTAATCATCCATGAGTTTAGTCATGCTTTGTTTTCTTTCTGAAGGGAGGATTGACTGAAGGCTGCCTTCTTTTTGGTTAATAAAGTATAGAAATAGTTCTCTGACAAAGCATCACTCTTTTTAGCAACTTTAGAGTATTTGTCATGCAGACCAAGAAAAAAAAAAGACCAGCCAATCTAATGTGGACCAGCCAGGGGAATTTTTTAAAGCATAGATATGTAGAATCCTACATATCCTTGGATAGATACATAGAATTCCTTTGTTTTTCTACTACAAGCAACAGCATGAGCACCATCATACTTCTCATCTGTAGGCTTGTCACCTTCTGGAGGATGAGCATAGGAGAGGAATTGCTAGATCCTGGATCTTTGGAGGAACAAAGGGAACTCTCTAGGAAAGCTTCCTGCATCTTTGTTGCTGGTAGCTTGATATAGTACGTGTGCTCAAGGACTGAGGAATGCTTGAGCAAGTGCATTCCATTTAATGATCAAGGGAAACAGAGCAATATGCTTGCATTAATTACTTTTCTATTGCTGTGGTAAGATACCATGACCAGAGCAACTGGTGGTTTGCATGAGAGTAGCCCAGAGACTCACAGATTTGAATTCTTCGTCATGAGGGAATGGCTCTATTTGAAAGGCTTAGGAGACATGGCCTTGCTGGAGGACGTGTGTCAGTTGGGGTAGGCTTTGAGGATTCTGAGGCCCACGCCAGGCTTAGTGGCACTCTCTTCCTATTGACTACCGAACTGGATGTGGAACTCTCAGCTACTTCTCCAGCAGCAGCCTGTCTTCATGCCACCATGCTCCCCACCACGGTGGTGCCAATGGACTGAAGCTGTAAGCTGTAAGCCAGCCCCAGTTAAATGCTTTCCTTTGTACGAGTTACCGTGGCATCTCTTCACAGCCATAGAACCCTGACTAAGACAGCAGCGTATTCAAGAGTCCATGTGAGGCTTACAGTTTCAGTGGGTTAGAGAACATGGCAGCAGGCAGGCATGGTACTGAAGCAAAGGCTGAGAGCTCACGCTGTGGACACAGGCATGAGGGAGAAAAAGCTAACTGGGAATGGCAGAGCTTTTGAAACTTCAATGCCCACCCCCAGAAACACGCCTCCTCAAATAGCGCTACACCTCTTAATCCTTCCCCAGTTCCATCAGCTGGGAACCCAGTGTTCAAACATAGGAGCCTATGGGGGCCCATTCTCATCCAGACTACTCCAATGCTATTCAGAAAACCTAAAACGTGACTGCACCCGAATGCCAGGCCCTGAGACATTCATGCATAATGGACATCTGTGACCCTTCAAAGACATGAGAAAACCACTGAGAGGTTGTTGGTGGGCTACACACTCTATCAGAAGGCAGAAGAGGGGTGGACAGGCGTGGGTGTCAGCTGTGTGCCCAGGACAGTATAATAACAGTAATAATCCTTTATATTTGGACAACACTTTATAATTTACATAGGGCTTTTACATGCATTTTCTAATTTAAGCCAAACAGTTGCCCTGTACAAAAATTCTGAGCAGGAGAAAAAACACAGAGTTCATGTGGGAGGACATCATAAAGTCTAAAATAACAAAAATGTGGCGATGCTGCTAGCCTCTGCCGGTGAAGACCACTGGCAGACCCAGCTGTAGCAAGACCTCGGAAGGCGCAGAAGCAGGACGGACATGCTCACAGTATTGCGGTGATGGAGTCTCCATCGACCGTGAGCCAATCCGCATCTCCCCAGGACAAGCAGGATGGTGAGCTAGCTATGAGAGCCACCTAGAGAAACTGTGACTGTGTGGATTCCCTGAAGATTCTGAGTCAGCGGGCCGGAAGTGGAGCCTAGGAACCCTACATCTGAACAGGCTCTCCTGTTGTGTAAACAAATTTGTAACCATTGTTCTGGAACAGTCTCTAAGAACCGCAGCTAAAGGATTTCACTGGAGACTAATCAGGTGGGATTATTTACCCTGTGAACCTCTGGATCCAGGCTGATAAAAGAAACCCAGCCAACCTAGTTGTTTTGTCACAGAGTCGGAGCATTTTGCAAGTGGAATTTCTAAAGCCTTTAAAATAATCTGCGGAATTTCACACTAAAAATTGTTGTGAAAAATTATGCAGTTGTACTGGAAAAATGTGTTGCTATGGACAGAGCCCTGGTCTAGATATGTTGCTACTTTAAAGATTATTAAACCCTAATATCAAAGCCAAATGACCTAGCCTAACCATATCCAGGGGTATGAGTATGACATCAGCAGCTGGCCTCATCTCTCCAAGCTTTGCTTTTCTCCTCTGGAAAGCACTTCTGTCAGTATGATAATGGCTGTAACATTCTCCCTTCTCTTCTCTTTCTCCCCACCCCTCCTTCTCTTGCAGTTGTCTAATCTGAGCTAGAACTTAGTCTAACTCCAGGGAACTCCCAGAAGCCAAGAATGGAAGGTGATGTGTGTGGATGTGGGCGGGTGCTCATGCATGTGCGTGTTTGTGAGTGCATGTGTGTATGTTGGCCTGAGTAATTTTAATCTATTTTGGAGCATACATAGGCACGCAAAATATACACATATACTTCAGTTTCCTACATGCTGTTACTACCAGAAAAAATTTCAAATTCTTCGCTGTTTTTTTTTGTCCTGTCCCTTTTTTCTTCCCTGAAAACTGAATTTGTGGACCAGCCCCACAGACAAGCACTTCAATTAACCTACAAGTATGTTCACCATTCCATCCAAATTCATTCATGTCCTTACGTACCACACTTTTACTTTAATGTTTTTGTTGCTCTCACCTGAACTATGTAATCACATTAGTTGTAAATCTGACTCAGCTTGCTCTTGAAGCCGAAATGGTAAGGAATGAAAATAAAGGAAATGAAGATAAGAAAAAATTGATACTAGTGGAGACTATGATCTCAAACCTTTCTGTATCTGTGGTTTAATAGATGTTTAATCTGGTGAGTGCAAAAATGATGGCCCTCAGATTTTTCTCACTGTCTGTACATACACCTTGCCATACTAACATTACTTCGCATCTAACCTGAAAGATAAGTAAAAAGATAAGTAAAAAGGTAAATATTTTAAATGATAACTATTAAGCCCCTTTCCCATTCCTTTGCAGTGAAAACATTGTTCAACCCAGCTCCTGCCATGGCTGACCTGGACCCCCGGTTCTATACCCTCTCCAGTGTGTTCTGCTGCAACGAAAGCGAGGTAGAGATAACTAGTTTGGTGTTTCTATTGGATCAAACAAAGAGGCAGGACCAACTGCATCAGTTTGAGTACATGTGAATTCAGTAAAAAGAGAGTTTTCAGTTTGTTGGGGTATGCAGGAAAGGAAGTTACTAAGCCTTGAGTGGCCATAAAGGATTCGGAGCCATGCCCCTAATCTGACTCTGCCCATTTCAGCACGTTCCAGTCCCCAAACATTGACATATTGTTTTCTTTTAATTATTTCACATTTTCAGGACAAAGCTTTTTTTTTTTTTGTTTGTTTGTTTGTTTGTTTGTTTTTGTTTTTGTTTTTTGAGATGGGGTTTCTCCGTGTAGCTTTGGCAGTCCTGGAAATCTGTAGACCAGACTGGCCTTGAACTCACAAAGAACTTCCTCCATCTGCCCCTACCCCAAAGTGCTAAGATTAAAGACTTGCACCACCACCACCACCACCTCCCGCCTCTTTTTTTGTTTGTTTGTTTTAACTAATTAATTTTAAACTTGCCAAGTTGAATAAATAAAAACCCAGGATGCCCAGTCACATTTGAATTTCCAATAATCAGTGAAAGAAAACATACAAAACAATTTGCTGTTTTTCTGAAAATCACATTTAACTGAGCTTTTGTATTTTATCTGCAATTGTAATTAGCATACAACTCCTGGAGTGGCTGCTGCTGTCCATGTGCAGATCGTGTGACAGCATTGGTGGAGAGATCCAGATTCCCAGTTGCAGCTGCTGTAAGAGGGAGGCAGGGTCTCACCTTAGGGTCCTGACGTACACATCCATACAACATCCCTGTCCATGCAGTGATATAACCTCTTTTATGAGGACTGTTAGGAATGAGCGCCCAGTCAACCTCCATTTCCATGGAAAGTCAGCCTTAGAATGGCACTGTGGCTCATCACTGAGATGCAACATACACAGAGAGAAAGGGAGATGAGACTGATGGTCAGGAAAGGTCAGCTGTCCTTCGGCTCTAAGGCTATATTATCAAGCCTGCTTGCTTGATAATTTCATCTGCCAGAACATACCGGACAAAGAAGGCTGCTACATGGAAACTAATTTTAACCAACCACAGTAGGTTATGCAACATTTTTGAGCAACCACCATGGCCAGGCATTGGGCTAGGAAAAAGGAATTGTAGGAGATAGTGACCATTTCACAATATGAGGTTACATTACTCTCAACCACCAAACTTGCTTAGATTTCCCTGGTAGATACATAAAAGACACTATTTATTCTTTAGACAATTGTTTATTCAGCTCATTTATCTTCTCCATTAAATGACAAATTTCATTAAGGCAGGAGCATCTTACCTATTGCTGTATAGTAAAATCTCTAAAGCAACATTAATTATTGCCATTCCCAGTTTCCATGTATGGAGAGTTCAGATAGGGCCTAGCATGACTTGTTCTCACAGTGTGCTGCCTGTGGAAGAGCTGAAAAAGTCAAAGGCTAAGGGAGTCTTCTCTCATGTTTGATAGCTGGTACTAGTGTTGCCTAAGCATAGTGGTATTGTTGGTCAGAACACTTATACATGACTTGTCTTTATAGCCTGGGCTTCTGCACACACACAGAGATATAGATACACAGACAGACAGACACACACACACACACACACACACACACACACACTGGGGAGGGGGTATTGACAGAGATTTCAGAGTTTTTAGGAAGTATCAATGAGTGTCTCTGAAAACAGATCAGTGAATTTAGGAGACAGAAGTGGTCCCAGTAACACAGGTTATCACAAAACTTATTAAAATGGCTCAGATTCTGTTCCCAGCACCCACACAGCAGCTCACAACTGTTGGTAGCTCAAGTTCCAGGAACGTAGTACCCTCTTCTGGGCTTGTCATGCGCCTGTATACACTTGATACACAGAAATAAACTCAGGCGTACACACATACGCGTAAAATTAAGCAAACACTTACAATTAAAAGGTGGCCTCCGATTACAACAAACCCAGACTAAAAGGGGCCACACAGAAGACAGAAAGAAAGGGTACATGGCCAAGCTCAGGCTCAAAATAAACAGACGCTTGAGGAAGGATTTTTATATGACAAAAGGGTTAGTTTGGGCATGTTCAGAACAAATAAAAGTGAGATGTAGTCCCATTCAAATGTGTAGGCCTACACATTTGATTAAACTGTAACACAGAACAGGCAGAACTGGTAACGTACTTTTAAAGTTTTTTATACACTGTATGTGTGTATATGTGTGTGCATGCTCAGATGCCATGACATGCACATGGAATTTTCAGAGGACCTGAAGGAGTCAATATTCTCCTTCCATCAGTTGACTCCAGGGAATTGAACTGAGGTTTGTTCTTAGTGGCAAGTGTGACTTGAGCCATCTCAGCAGCCTAGTTATGTACTTTGTGCTTTTTTTCTTCACAATTTATTCATTATGTATCCCAATTGAAGCCCCCTCCCTCAATGACTCCCAGTCCCACCCTCCCTCATGCTTCCTACCACCCCCTTCCCCTCGTCCACTGAAAGGGGAAGTTCTTCACTATTGCCATCTGCCTATAGCTTGTGAAGTCTCACCAGGACTGCCTGGATCCTCTTCCTTGATGGTCTGGCAAGGCCGAATCGCCAGGGGCAAGTGATCAAAGAGCAGTCAACTGAGTTCATGATAGAGGCAGCCCCTGCTCCCCTCACTCAGAGATAGACATGGAGACTGAGCTGCCAATCTGCCACATCTGAGTAGGGGCACATCTGAGAAGGAGTACATCTGAGGAGGGGGTCTAGGTCCTCTCCATGCATGGTCCTCTGTTGGTGCATCAGTCTCTGCAGTACCCCCTGGGCTCAGGTCTTTTAGCTTTGTTAGTCTCCTTGTAGGGCTCCTGTCCCCTCCATGTCCTTCTATTCCCACCCCTTTCTTCTTCCTTAAGATTCCCTGCACTCTGCCCAAAGTTTGGCTGTGAGTCTCAGCATCTGCTTCGATCCCCTGTTGGGTGAGTCCTTTTAGAGGACCCTCTATAGTAGGCTCCCATCCGGTTTCCTCCCTTCCACAGCTTCTGGTGTCTATCCTGTTTGCCATCTTCCCTACTGTCCTCCTTGTTATTTAACTTCTTTAGGTCTGTAGCTGGCTATCCTAATTTATACTGCTAATATTCACTTATTAGTGAGTATATGCCATGCCTGTCTTTCTGGTTCTGGGTTATCTCACTCAGGATGATTTCTTTCTTTTTTTTTTTTTTTTTCAAAAATTTTTTATTTTTATTTTTTTTAATTTTTTATTAATTACACTTTATTCATTTTGTATCCCCCCATAAGCCCCTCCCTCCTCCCCTGCCGATCCCACCCTCCCTCCCCTTTCTGCATGCATGCCCCTCCCCAAGTCCACTGATAGGGGAGGTTCTCCTCTTCTTTCTGATCTTAGTCTATCAGTTCTCATCAAAAGTGGCTGCATTGTCCTCTACTGTGGCCTGGTAAGGCTGTTCCCCCCTCAGGGGGAAGTGATCAACGAGCAGGCTAATCAGATTATGTCAGAGGCAGTCCCTCTTCCCATTACTATGTAAACCACTTGGACACTGAACTGCCATGGGCTACACCTGTGCAGGGGTTCCAGGTCATCTCCACGAATAGTCCTTGGTTGGAGTATGAGTCTCTGGGAAGTTCCCTGTGTTCAAATTATCTTGTTCTGTTGCTCTGCTTGTGGAGTTCCCGTCCCCTCCAGCTCTTACTATTTCCCACTTCTTACATAAAATTCCATTCACTCTGCCCATCAGTTGGCCATCAGGCTCAGCATCTGTTTTGACAGTCTATACTGCAGAAGCTTTCAGAGGCCCTCTGTGGCAGGTTTCAAGGTTGTTTCCTGTTTTCTTCTGGCTTTCAGAGGCCCTCTGTAGCAGGTTCCGAGGTTGTTTCCTATTTTCTTTTTCTTCTGATGTCCATCCTCTTTCCTTTCAGGATGGGGATTGAACATTTTAGTTAGGGTCCTCTCTTTTGCTTAGTTTGTTTAGATGTACAGATTTTAGTGGGTTTATTCTATATTGTATGTTTATATGAGTGAGTATATACCATGCGTGTCTTTTTGCTTCTGGGACAACTCACTCAGGATGATCCTTTCCAGGTCCCACCATTTACCTGCAAATTTCATGATTTCCTTATTTTTCATTGCAGAGTAATACTCCATTGTATAGATGTACCACAGTTTCTGCATCCATTCTTCAGTTGAGGGGCATCTGGGTTGTTTCCAGCTTCTGGCTATTACAAATAAAGCTGCTACAAACATGGTTGAGCAAATGTCCTTTTTGTGTACTTGTGCCTCTTTTGGGTATATGCCTAGGAGTGGTATGGCTGGATCTTGAGGAAGCGCTATTCCTAGTTGTCTGAGAAAGCGCCAGATTGATTTCCAGAGTGGTTGTACCACTTTACATTCCCACCAGCAGTGGAGAAGGGTTCCCCTTTCTCCACAACCTCTCCAGCATGTGTTGTCCCTTGAGTTTTTCATCTTGGCCATTCTGATGGGTGTAAGGTGAAATCTCAGGGTTGTTTTGATTTGCATTTCCCTAATAGCTAATGAGGTTGAGCATTTCTTTAAGTGCTTCTCTGCCATTCGATATTCCTCTACAGAGAATTCTCTCTTTAGCTCTGTTCCCCATTTTTTAAGTGGATTACTTGGTTTGTTGCTTTTAAGCTGGTTTAGTTCTTTATATATATTGGATATGAGTCCTCTGTCAGATAAAGGGTTGGTGATGATTCTTTCCCTATCTGTAGGCAGTCGCTTTGTTTTGATGACGGTGTCCTTTGCTTTACAGAAGCTTTTCAGTTTCATGAGGTCCCATTTATTGATTGTTGCTCTTAGAGCCTGTGCTGTTGGTGTTCTGTTCAGGAAGTTGTCTCCTGTACCAATGAGTTCTAGGGTATTCCCCACTTTTTTTTCTAGCCGCTTTAATGTGTCTGGTTTTATGTTGAGGTCTTTGATCCACTTGGACTTCAGTTTTGTGCAGGGTGATAAGTATGGATCTATTTTCATTTTTCTACATGTA